GCCTCTGAAGGATTCCGCTTCCCAACACTGTTCACTTGTCAGCATTCCACTTATTAGAACTCAAGCCATGGCCATATGTGAGAGAGGCTGGAAAAAAGCACAGCCTAAAAAAATCTATGTCAGAACTCCTATCACTACAGAAGCTGGGGAAAATAGGCGTTGGAGGCCAAACGGGCCAGCCTCACGGGCCTTTCAGTTCTGAGAACACACCAGATTCCTTCCAGACCCAGGGCAGTGCGTTCACTGGCATGGCATATTCTGCCTCCCCAGTTCTCTTTCCTCTTTATATGCTTCCGTGTGAAAGCCTTTTCTCTGAGGGGCTTGCCCTGATCACACTGCTTTCCACCTTTGTTGCCTTGCTCGCTTACTTTTCCTGGTGCCTGTTCTCCCCTATTAAACTGTAGGCTGCCAAAGGGCAGGAACTCTAACTTGCTCTCTATATTCACTGCCCAACTCAGTGCCTGACATATACTGGGGCTAAATCAGGGCTGGTTGAGTTGAAGAGTACAAGGACACAATTTGTTTACTAAGCAGAGTCTTGTTTTGCTACACGGATCACATTGCTGGACCACAATGGGTTTAATTAAAAGCCCTCAAACTTTTTTTTTAAACTTCCATTTGGTTCTCCTAACATGTGCTTCTCTGGGCATAATAGAATGGGGCACATAAGTTGAACCCAGGTTCTTTTCTCTCTGGCTTCCTTCTTTGTTTGATCATTTCCCTTCCCATGTTTCAGGAAGACATTTGGGCTCTTAGATTCCTTGATATGCTCAATATGCATATTAATCATCTTGGCAATGAGGGCAGGCCAGATAGTTCAGCGAACTAAAGCAACTGCTTAGGCAGGCACAGCGACCAAGGTTTAATCCCCTGAATGCTGGGCCTGCCCCTGGGACGCACTGAGATGGCAACTGAGACTGAGTGTGGTGGTGCATGCTTATAATCCCAGCCCTTGGGAGGCTGAAAGCAGGAGGATCACTACAAGTCAGATCTGTGCAATGAGATCCTGTAGACCCTGTACTAAACACATTGGGAAAAAAATCACTTTGGCAAGGATCTTGCCTTTCACTTGTTTGTTTATAACAATGCCAGCAACATATAGGGTAACACTGTAGACTTTCCCAATTTGCCTGAGTAACATTTACTGGGTATTCTGTTTTGATTAGCATTCACTCTCTTAATGTCTACAGTGTCACTTTTCTTTAGATTTGCTTATAGGTACCCAGAAGAACAATTGCATGTTTTCTACAGGGCCTAGAGAACACACACAAGTGCCTTTCCTCTTTCTTTTTGTCATTTTGGTGAATTACCTGAAGATGGTGATTTTGCCCATGTTTGGTGACTTTTCTTGCTCCTGGGACAAAACACCCAACAGCCACAATTTAGAAAAGGTAAGATTTATTTGGCTCATGGTTTGAGAGGTTTCAGCCCATAGTCGCTTGGCTCCAGGGCAGGGCAGCATGATGCAGGGGCATAGAAGAAAGCTACTCATGGCAAGGTGTACAGGAAGCAGAGGGTCATGGAAGGAGCTAGGGAAGGAGACATATCCTTCAGAGTCACACCCACAGGGACCTGCCTCTTCCTACCAGGCCAGATGTCCTATATCACCTTTAGCTATAATGTCCCCATAAATCTGCTTAAAGCCCTGTCTATGAGCTCTTGAGGCTTTGGGGGTAGGGAGGACATCTAAATATAAACCATTATAGGCCCAAAGGAAGCAAGACCTTTTGTTGACATGTCAGTGAAAACATTTATTTATCTCTTCCAGTTCAGATGATATAATCATACTCTGAGAGATATATGCTGTAGGTTTCTTTATGTCACTGGCAAACAGGGATGAGGATGGAAAAAAGAAGCAGGCCAAACGTAGAGCCCCATCATCACAGCACGGGGTCTGTCCTTTACCCTGCAGCCAGTCCATCACCAGCTCTGTGGGTTGGATGTTTACTTGCGTAGGCTACGCTCTTACCAAGAGTGTCACTGTTGTTGGAATCTGCTGAATGACAGATGGAAGAGAGGCCTCCCACCCACATGGTCATGGAATCTTTACATTAGAAAAGAACAAATCACACCCAGCTAGTAACCTTATAAAAACCGGGAAACAACTAGTTCTTGGTGAACTTGTACTTGACCAAGTGGTTATGCTTTTCTCATAAGTGTTGACTTATAGATGTTATTAACTCATAATTTGTCCTGAAACTTTCCTGGCATCTCTATTCTAGAAATTCTGCTGTTCATTTTCCATCACCAAGCTCTCGGTCCTCATACCACTGAACCAGCTGTTCCTCTGTTCCTCCTAGTAGGAAATGCTGTTCCTGCTTGACTCTGTGTCCAAACCCTGACCTTCCCTCAAACTCTACCTGCTGGGTGCCTATTACTTCTACTCCTGCTGCTCAGGGCTGGTTGTTGCTGCCTAGGACTCACCATCCGAGTAGAACAAGCTTTCCTCTTTGGTGCCTAGCAGTGTCTTTCAGGAGACTGCCTCATCACAAGGTGTGTGCGCTGAATCCGCTGCTGAAAGCGAGCATCAGCTGATGCTCAGGGACCAGCCCCTCACTAAAATTCGAGAAAGAACTGCGCTCTACATTCTGGGAAAGTACTGTCCCACTGTTGTTAAAACTCATTTTTGTTATTAGTTTTTAAAAAGTATATATTTTTTTTGTTTGTTTGTTTGTTTTTCAGAACCGGGGATTGAACTCAGGCCTTTGCGCTTGCCAGGGAAGTGCTTATTCCACTGAGCCATCTCCCCGGCCCCCATTAAAAAAATATAAAATTATAAAGTCCCAAGGAAACTATAAAACCATTTGATTTTTTTTTTTTTTTTTAACATTAAGGGAACCATCTGGGTAATATCACATTCTGGGGAATCAAGATAAGGAGGGATTGATGAGCTTAAACTACAAAATTTATATCCTAAATATTCTAGCAACAAAGAAGACAAAAATTCAGAGCTGTAAGCAAAATGTTTTTGGAAGTGTTACTCATTTTTGGAAGCATACAGTCAGACCTTGGCACCTTTGGGGCATTAGTTACAGGATCCTCTTGGATACCAACACCAGAGGATGCTAAAGTTGCTCATACAAAATGGCCCAATATTTGCCTACAGACATCCTTCTGTATACTTCAAAACACCTGTAGATTAAACACCGAATACAATGCAATGCAAATAATTGGGAATACTCACAAGGAGAAGAATGTCTGAATGTGTTCAGTAAAAAATGTAGTCATCATAGACCTAAATATATTTTAATCTGTGGTTAGTTGAATCTAGATGCAGAACGCATGGATATAAGGGTTGAATATATTTAGATTTACAAAAAAAGAAAAAAATGTGGCGTTTCCTTAACTACCTTTATAGGTTGAAAACAATTTAATTTCCAACGAGGCCATCAGGGTAATAAAGTGAAGGCCACCTGCATTTAACTGGCAGATACAGCGAAGCCACATCACACCACATTCAGAGGAAAAAATTAGCTCCATTAGGTCATCGAGTCCAATTCCTCCTAATTGTGTGAAAACTTTACTCCCTGGGGGAGAGGGTGCTCAGAGAGGAATGAGTGTCTCGCTGCTGGGGTCCCCCAGATCTGCCACCAGATCACAGAGGAGCCCCCACCTCTTCTAAAACTTGGCTGGCTGCCTCCCTCAGAAGTTTTCAGAGAGAAGCTTTCCTTTTTATTGAAATGCTGATGACTCTACTTGAAGAAAAAAAAAAAAGTCTCATTACAAAACCCCTCTCTGCTGCTTGCTTTCAGAACTTTAATAAATCCCGGCTTAGTATGAAAACCACCCAGGCACTGACTCCACATTTCCCGACGCGCTGTCTGGAGCTGCTGCTTCTTCGTGAGTAACTTCCCCAAGTGTTTGGAAAATTGCCTGATGCCAGGCACCTAGGACCACCGGACCAGCGTCTCAGAGCTGAACAGGCCAACGCGTTTTCTATGTCTGTTCTGAAAGCTGCACCGGCCTTTCTTTTCTGTTTCTTTTGCACTCTCCTCGTTCTCCCTCTTGCTCATAACAGCTGGTGTGCGTTTCTGTTCTTTTGCAGCGCGATGGTCAGGGCCGTGCAGGGCCTTGCTCATGGCAGGTGCTTAGCGCTCCGTCGCGGAGGTACATCTCCAGCCCCCGTGTTCTTTTTTTCCTAGACCAAGAATGGACTCTGTGCCTGTAATTCCAGTACTTCAGAGGCTGAGGCAGTTGGATCCAAGTTCAAGTCTGAGAACCCCTCTCAAAATACTAATACTAATACTAATACTAATAATGGCTGGGAATGTAGCTCAGTGTGAAGGCTCTAACTTCAATCTCTAATACTAGAGACAAGCAAACAAATAAGTAGAGGAGAATCGCAATTCCCACCCACCACCTGAAATTTACAAGTGGGGTTTGCAGGCAGCTCTCAACTTTGCTGTTCCTTATGACTTTTCCGCGACAGCAACAGGACTTTCAGAGACAGGAGGAAGCCTTCTTTCCAACTTCCACTGTCTTTTTAGTGTCCCCTCCAAATTTCTAGGAAATTGCAGGGCTGTGCTTTTCTCCCTGCAGAGTCACATTAACGTTTCCAGTCGTAACATTTTTGCTGACTGACACCTCGTGTGAGCTCACTGCCACTTTCATAGTTTCCAAACTGTCCTTCCAGCCTCCACCGCCACGCTGTCCCTTGTTTCCTTATGCTCTTCTTTCCTCTGGCTCAGCCTCTGTGAGCCTAGGGCTGGAAGCTGTGGCTTAACTGCACCACAGCTGCCTGTCACTCTCTTAGCAAGAGCAGGTGCTTTATTCAAGTGCAGAATAGGGGTGCCCCCGGCAGTAGTGCTAGACATAACCATCCCAGGGCGGCTGAAACCACGCAACGGAGTGTTTAGGTGAACTGAATGTCCAGCGGATTTGGAAATGTCTCTTCCTATTTACAAAGTGGTGAATAAAATCTGCTTTAAGTGCAGAGAAAATCTTGATTGTTTTAATTGCGGTAGAATTTAACATATAGTTTACTTTTTATCCATTGTTTTAAAAATACGGGATGCCTCCCTAACATGTGTGTCATCCTTGCCAGCGCCATGCTAATCTTCTCTTTTGTCCCAAGTTTAGTGTACTGTATGTGCTGCTGGAGCAAGGGCCACTTAACCACTGTTGAGTGTATAGTTCAGTGGTATTAAGTCTATTCATAGTGCTGTGTAGCTGTAAACTTTTTTTTTTTTTTTTCCAGAACCAGGGATTGAACTCAGACCCTTGCGCTTGCCAGGCAAGCACTTATTCTACTGAGCCATCTCCCTGGCCTCTGTGTAGCTGTTACCATTGTCCATCTTCACAGCTCTTTTCTTCTTGTAAAATAGAAACTCTGTACCCGTTGAACACTAACTCCCTGTTTATTCCTGGGCCCAGCTCCTGTCAACCACTATTCTATCTTCTGTCTCTGACTTTACTTTTTGTGTGTATACTTCACATAAATAGAATCATGAAATATTTTTCCTTTTGTGCCCAGATCATTTCATTTAGAATAAGGTCCTTAAGGTTCATCCACACTGTAGCCTGTACCAGAATTTCCTTCTTTTTAAAGGCCAAATTGTTTTCCAGTATATGGATATACCACATTTTGTCTTTTCTATTCAAAGTGGACTTTGACAAAGTGTGGAGTACAGAGTCAGTGGAATGTGGTGAAAACCACATTGAACTGGACACCAGGAACCTGAGGCTTGGTTTGGGCTCTGCCTCCAGTGACCTTAAGCAGATGGCTCTCACCAAAGTGGACTGCCAGAGCCCTCCGGTAGAACCCACTGGGCTGCCTGGGAGGAATGCAGGTTCCTTGATTAAATTTCTGGTTGGGGCCTCAGAATCTGCACTTCTAAAAGGCTTCTAGGACTTTTTTATATTCAGGTTTGGGAACCACCAGGATTGAGTTCCAGGTCCCATGTTCCCCATCAAGATTAGGTCAGAGATTTTCCCAAGAGAGGGACAACAGGGAATTCCAGGTAGATGAGGACAAAGCCAGGAGAGAAAAGGGTAAATCCAGCAGCAGGGCTTGGGGACCACTCCTAGACAATTCAGCTTTTCCTTTTTTGCCTTTAAGTTTCCATGAAATTCTTAAAAATAAATTTAAAATTAATGGGGCCAAAAATGAATAACTATTAAATCTCTAATTTCATTTTAAATTAAATGAAACAAATTAATTTTAAATTACTAAATTAGTTTTTGAAATTATCATTTGAGTTTTAAACATGGTCATTTTCTAGACATACTTGGTCAATTTTCTTATTTTGGAATTAACAGAAGGACGCCTTAATTTAATTTTAACCTCTGGTGAAAGGGTCCAATAGAGTCTCGGATGTCCTTCCTGAAAAGCGGCCAATAGGGCCAATTCTATACATGGACATCGAGTACGCCCGGCAGCTGTGTACTACAGAAGCACAGTTTGGTTCATATGCCAAAACTATGCCCAAGTTCAATATTTTTAGATCTTGATTGAAAACTATGATTTTTAGTCTCCTCCTTTTGCTTTTTCAACTTCACCTATGCCTTGTTTGCTTTCCAAAACACAGATATTTCCTCTGAGGATCTGGGCTTGAGTCTGAGGGGGCTGGGTCTGTGACTATTGACCTTGGAACCACAGGCTGCTAGTACAATTAGAAGCTGTCACCCACAGAGCCAGCTCTGCTAAGTTGATTTTTCTGGGTCCTAAAACCTGCCAATAGCTGTCTCCTCCTCGGTTAGTTCTCCACTAGATTTTCTCTTCATTCTTCTCAGTGTTGCTTGTTTTGTGATAACTGTGGCCTAAAGTTTATGTCCCTGTCTAAAAGGATATGTAATCCGCATTTGCTGACTATACTTACATAATGCTTGACTTTTATTTTGAGGTTTTTGTCATTAGAAGTGTGTGCTCTGTGGCTTGCTCTAGTGAGATGAGGTCTTTTTCTTAGGTACATCTTATTCCTTGTTCTTCGATTGTTAGATAGTGGGATATCACCTGCGAAAGCGCGAGCTTCTAAGCCAGCAGGTGCTGAAAGCCACATCTGCAGGGGGTTGTCAAGGTTTGGGGTTCCGTTAAGCAATGTGAATGCTATCCCTCCCTAAACAGAATATTAGATGGTTTTAGAGTTGGGTAAGAGGCATCCAGTCAATAAGGCACCCCAGTTGTGGACTTTGGGTCTGGACTCTGTGTGAACATAGGGAAGATTCTAAGGTTCAAAAGGAAAAGTGGTGCTGACACAAGGCTAGAGATGTCCAGCCCCCAGAGTTCAGCTTGATCAGGGGACACTTTTCATTCACCTTTCTTTCTTACTTTCTTTTCTTTCTTTCTTTTCTTTCTTTCTTTCTTTCTTTCTTTCTTTCTTTCTTTCTTTCTTTCTTTCTTCTTTCTTTCTTCTTCTCAGGACCTTGTGTTTGCCAGGCAGATGCTGTGCCAATGAGCTATCTCCCCAGCCCCAGGATACTTTGATAAAAACTGAAATCAGCTATAGATAATCCAGAGGATGCCTTATCAGGTTCTCATATGGGGCTTTATCAGGTTCTCATATGGGACCTAACTCAGAGAAAGGCTCTATAAGACTTCTCCAACCTAATCTCAAAGAATTTAGCCTTACCAGGTCATGACCCTAGGTCTGAAAGGCTCAGGAACTATTAGAAGATGCCCCTTTAGCGCCCACTAATGGGTTGGGGACTAACTCAAAGGTAAGGCTGTTAGGTTTCCTACAACTCCTGTCCACAAAACTCATTTTGGGACATACCTCAGTCATCCCACCTGAATCCATTTAAATGCCTTCTTATCAGTCCTTTTTTCAGTTATGGATATTCAGTTATAATAGGAAAAAACTGAGTAGATTCTCTGAGGATCCTAAAATATTTTCTGATGGTTTCCATATTCTAACAGTGACTTTTTTTTTTTCAATTTATGTATTTGGTAACAGGGTCTCACTACACAGCTTGGACTCATAGTTATCCTACTGTTTCAGCTTCCCCAGTGCTGGGATTACAGGCATGCACTACCACCCACAGTTTCAGAGGCCGGCTTGGCCTGAGGCAGGGCCAGCATGGCATGTAGTACTGGGGATTGAACCGGGGTCCTCACTTTGTAGTTCAGGCTGGACTTGAATTTACTATGTAACTCAGGCTGGCCTTGAACTCATGGCAATCCTCCTGCCTTAGCCTTCCAAATACTGAGATTATAGGTGTGCAGCACCACACCCAGCTGAGATCTTGTACTAGGCAATAGTCTCCCAATGGCTTAACTATTGGTAAAATGGGTATGTTGTACAGGGGCTGGCATGGCATCCAGTAATGCTGTAGCCAAAAATTTAGCAATAATAAGCCCTAACCCTAGCCTAGATTTTTTTTGTAAGATAACTGTTTTCTGTGAGGATATAGATTAGGGTCTTTTAGCAAAGTGACTACTGAAGTGGCCTTGACAGCCCTTTCCAGGGTGCCATTATTCTATGTTTGGGGATCAATTTCCAGAAAAGACACCAGGTTCCATGGTGAGTCCTTAGCAAGTAGGACATGGGTTGCCAGAAGTTTGAACATCAGAGTGGCCCAGAGCAGGAAGAGTACATCTTTTCTGATCACTGGCATGGGGTGCTCCAGTGTCACCATAAAAGCAATTTGGAACATGAACTCTTCCAAATGTCAGCTCAGAGCAAGGGTTAAAAAAGTCTATGTGGTTAACTTCTTCAAGGTCCACAAGAACTTTAGAACAGAATGAAAACTCACCCCAATAAGAAACTAAAAGTAAGTTGTCCCAGTATCACAGAGAAATATAATTGGTTTGCCTGCTGCTTCTTGAATCACCTAAGACTCCTGTAAATCAATGGGAAGACGCTGGTTCAGGCTCCAAATAGGCTGCATCAACCACTATCATTTGCTACCTCCACCTTCCTCCCTGGCCACCATGGTTAGAAGTGATCTCATCTTTCTCTGGGAATGAGGGCAGTTCCTCTTGCAGCACCAAAGATCTCCCATGTTCTGATGGGTCCAACAAGAGTTAGGTAGCTTCTGAGGGCATTCCTTAGCCTAGTGTCCCAACTGGCTGCACTTGAAGGACTCTGATTTGTTTTTGTCATTCTTTGGGCTACCTCAGTTTACCTCAGGACAGAGTGCTGTGGACTTTGTTCTGAAACTTATCAAATAGTGGGAGCATGTCTTTAGCCTGCTTGTTTTCCTTACTCAACTCTTATTTGTCTTCTTCATCATGATTTTTTGTTTTATTTATTTTATTTTTCTGTATTTTAGGGCAGGGTCTACAGGGTGTTCAGTGTCTCACTACTAGATCAGACTCATAGTGATTCTCCTGTTTACAGCCTCTCAAGTGCTGGGATTACAGGAGTGCACCACCACACCCATTCTCAATTACCATTTTAGTGTGTCCTGGGGGTGGGGCCAGCATGGCAGGCCCAGGGATTGAACCCTTGGCTCCTGCACCTGCTTGCAGGCACTTTAATCCGGGGAGCTATTTGGCCTGCCCTCATTTTGATTATTAAAAACCAAATAAACTACATTGATCATTGACTTGTTTTGGTTTTTGGGCCCCATTAGAGTTTCTAGAGGCTTTTCCAAATAGCATGAGCTGATGAATAAAATACCGTTTTAGGATAATTTGACCTTCTCTAAGAATCTAAACTCTCAGAATCTAAATTAGTATATTCACAGAATGTCTTTTAAGCCAGAGCTGAAAAGGAACTGGATTCTCATCGAAGCCTTTACTAATAGACCTGAGATTACTGTAGTTCACAGGTTTGGTCATTTCTTTTTGAATATCTGCTAAGATGGACTTGATGTATAACTTTTATTTGGTTTCTCCACTCACTGTGTTATGATCCTATTAGGGCCCCTCTTGGGACCCAAATAATACAGCACCTGGCTGATTATCAAAGAGTGAAGTTTGAAGATTTCATCATTAGCCTCTTTGAAGCCTTTATAATTCTGTTCTTTTCTACTTTTGTGCAACAAGAAACCAGAATGAACTACATATCTCACCAAGTCAGGTCAAAAGCCATTGTTAACCTAGAATCTCAGCACTTGGGAAGCTGAAGCAGGAAGATCACTGCCAGTTTGAGGCAAATTTTGGCTACATAGTGAACTCAAGGCCAAGCTGAATTACACATGGAGACCCTGTCTTAAAAAAA